TCGGTGGGTCGCCTGATCCTCCCGCTGCTCTTTCCTGACCTTGCTTCGTTCCCCACTGTCTCTGACCTCGCTGCCCACCTGCGCTCGATAGAGGAGACCTGGCGCGCCGCCTGCACTGACGCACAGCTTAGAGCCCACCAGCCGCCCATTACCTCTACCCTCTACCTGCTTGCCACCCGCCTCCCTGACCGCCTTGCTGTCGCCCGCGACCGCTTCCTTAGTGTTCACCCCGCAGACCTCACCCTCACTGACTTTGTCGACACCCTGACTGTGATAGAGACCCGTCACCGCTCCATCGCCCAGGCGAGCGGTGTCGTGCCGGTCCCTATCTTTCAGGGTTGTGCCCCCGCTCAGTGTACCTTCTCCGACGGCTCTGCCGCAGTGGCTGAGACTGCTGCTGCAGCGCAGGCCCGTTCTGGGAAGGGCCGCCGCCCCAAGGCTGGGCGCGGCGGAGGGGGCGCCGGGGGTGCGGGCGGGGGTAGTGGTGGGGTCGGGTCGCCTGGTGCTGGAGCGGACGAGGGGACCCTGCCCAGTCCAGCTGAGTCGCCGCCCCTGCAGTTGCAGCAGCCGGTACCAGATCTAGACCGGTCCTCGCCGCGGCTTCGTTTGCGGTAAGATCGGTCACTCCACTCCCCGCTGCTTTCGTCGCCTGGACGACCTCTTTCGTCAGCGTTTCGGCCCGTCGCCAGACCTCCCGGACTGGCACAGTTTGCTTAGTCGTCAGATTCAGATCTTTGATATGGACATGGATGCCATTGTTTCTGCTCTGCATGTGATGTATGCTGATGACTCTAGTGTGCTTCCGACTTCTTACTCACTGTTGCCTAGTGTAGGTGTGCCTAGCTTAGCCTCCCCTGCTGCGTCAGGCGTAGGATCCCCTGCTTTGTGTAGTCTTGGTGCTTCTGCCGTCGTTCCGTCGCCAGACCCCACGGCTTCGCTTTCCTTCACCTTGGACTCTGGCGCCTCTCGGTGTTTCTTCCCCGACTCCACCACCCTGACGCCGCTTCCTGTTCCTGCTGCCGTTTCTCTTGCTGACCCCTCCGGTGGTCCGGTAGTCGCCCGCAGTTCCACCACCCTTCCCTGTCCAGCGGTTCCTTCGGGCTCTCTTACAGGTCTCCATATCCCCTCGTTCTCCAGGAACCTAGTCGGTGTCTGCTGCCTCCAGGACCTTGGCGTCACCACTACGTTCCCTGGTCACGAGCGGTATGCTGTCTGTACCGAGGCCGCCACTGGTGCCCCCCTGTCCACGTTCCCCCGGGACCCGGTGTCCGGCCTGTTCACTCTGGACACCGTGCCCCCCCCGGCTGGAGCGCCCCCTCAGGTGGCTGTGTCTACCCAGGTTGCTGCTGCCTGCTCCTGTCGCCCCCTCACTCACCCGACCCTCCTGTGGCACCACCGCCTAGGTCACCCTGCGCTCCCGCGTCTGCGTCACATGTCCCAGCACGGTCTTGTCCTTGGTCTCCCAGGTTCACTCCGCGCGTTTCCCTCCTCCCCAGCTCCACCTTGCACGCCTTGTGTCGAGGGTCGGCTTCGCCGTGCCCCTCACTCCTCCTCGTTCCCCCCTACCGCCGCGCCGCTGCAGACCCTGCACCTGGACGTCTGGGGCCCCGCCTCCGTCCCTGGGCCGCGTCGCGAGCGCTACTTCCTTGTGCTTGTCGACGACTTCACTCGTTACACCACAGTCTTTCCCCTGGAGCGCAAGGCTGACGTGCCTGGCGCCCTCATCCCCTGGCTTGTCTCGTGACGTCACCTTTGACGAGTCCGTCTCCTACTACCGCCGCTTCCCCCACCGTGGTCCCCCGGTTACCCCCCCCTGTTCCTGGTCACCCCTTCCCCGGTAGTCCCTGCCCCTCCTCCTCCTCCTCCCCGTCCCGCCCCCTCTGGTGTCTCCCACGTCACCCCCCTTCCGTCTGTGGACCCGGTTGAGGAGTCTTCTGACTCTGGTGGCCCTCCGGTGCAGTCCTCGCCGGCCGCCCCTCCCCAGGTGTCCCCCCCCCGGTCCCCTCCTCCGCCGCCCCTGCCGCCGCTGCAGCCGTCGCCGTCGCCGGCGCCGCTGCCGCCGCCGCCGTCGCAGCCCCCGTTCGCTGACTCTGGGGGTGCTCGTCCCGGTCGCCCTGAGGGTGGTCCCTCTGGGGGTGCGGGTGTGGAGAGTGCCGGTGGTAGCCGAGGAGCAGCTTGCGGTCCCGGTGTCGCCGTTGTGCCGCCGCAGCAGCAGTCCCCGCCGGTGTCCGCCCTTCGCCTGCTCGGCCTTCCGTCCCCCGACCCTGCGTCGGTTCCTCCCCGATCGTCTCCTCCTCTTCCTGTCTACGGCCCTGTTTTCCCTCCGCCGGACTCGTCCCCGGCCCGTCTCCCCCCTCGTTCCCCTCCTGTGTCCCCTCCCCTGTCTCCTGACCCGACTCCTCCATCGCACGTCTGGTCTCACCGTCCCTCCCGTGCTCGTCCTGCCTCGCCTGTCCTGCGCTCCCACCCTATGTTGCTTCGTTCACACGCGTCTCGTCCTCCCCTTCTGTCGTCGCCTCCTCCGTCCTCCCTTGTTGTTGCGCCCCCCCCGCTATCCGACTACCTTCGTGCCGCTCGTCCTCTCGTTCCTCGGGTCCTTGCCTCTCTCGTTACCGACCCGTCTGTTCCCGTCTCGTGCCTTGCCGCTCTTGTCGCTGCTGTCGCTGACTTCGCCTCTACCCGCCGCCTTGACTACGCCACCGCTCTGGTCTCTGACCCTGCCTGTCCTCCGTCTGTCGGGGGTGCTCCTGCCCTTGGCAGTGACGTCCTGGAGGACCGCCAGTTCGAGCTTGCTTTCCTCTCCGAGGCTGCTCCCCATCTCTGTTCCATGCTGCTAGTCCCTGAGGGTGACCCAGACGCTTTCGACATCCCGACCCCTCGCACTTACGCTGAGGCGACTTCGGGACCCTGGGCCTCGCAGTGGATAGCTGCCATGGAGAAGGAGATGGCATCTTGGAGATCCACCGGCACCTTCGTCGACGCAGTTCCCCCACCTGGGGTGAACGTAGTCGATGGCCGCTGGCTCTTCAAGGTGAAGCGCCCTCCTGGAGAGCCGCCTGTCTTCAAGGCGCGCTATGTGGCTAGAGGCTTCAGTCAGCGCGAGGGGGTGGACTTCTTCCAGACTTTCGCTCCGACCCCGAAGATGACTACTCTTCGGGTTCTGTTACACCTAGCTGCTCAGCGTGACTACGAGCTTCACTCCCTCGACTTCTCCACTGCCTTCCTTCAGGGCAGCCTACACGAGCAGGTCTACCTGCGCCGCCCTCCGGGTTGTACTGGCACCTTCCCTCCTGGGACCCAGTGGCTCCTGCGGCGCCCCGTCTACGGCCTGCGCCAGGCTCCCCGTGAGTGGCAGGACACTCTGCGTACTATGCTTGCTGACCTGCAGTTCTTTCCGTCTTCTGCAGACCCTTCACTCTTCGTTCGTGCTGGCCAGACTCCGTTCTACATCCTCGTTTACGTCGACGACCTGGTCTTTGCCACAGCAGACAGGGACGCGCTGGCCTCCGTGAAGGCAGAGCTGCTGAAGAGACACACCTGCACTGACCTTGGAGAACTGCGCCGTTACCTTGGCTTGCAGATCTCCAGGGACAGAGCTGCGCGCACCATCACCCTAACTCAGTCACACTTGGTGTGCCAGGTCCTTCAGAGGTTCAGCCTTCAGTTCTCCTCTGCACAGCCCACCCCTCTGCATGTAGACCACAGGCTCTCCGCTCCAGTGCCTGAGTAGTTGGTAGAGCCCAGCGGCCCCTACGCAGAGCTGGTGGGTTGCCTCATGTACCTGATGACTTGCACTCGCCCAGATCTCGCATACCCTCTCAGCATCCTGGCTCGTTTTGTGGCCACAGGCAGACACCGACCGCAGCACTGGTCTGCCGCTAAGAGGGTTCTGCGTTATCTTGCTAGTACATCGGGCATGGGGTTAGTGCTAGGAGGACGCAGGCCAGCGGTCCTTACTGGGCACACAGACGCTTCGTGGGCAGACGACGCTGAGACACTCCGGTCTACCCAGGGCTACTGCTTCAGCCTTGGCTCAGGTGCCGTCTCGTGGAGAGCTACTCGCTCCTCGTCTGTTGCACAGTCCAGCTGTGAGGCTGAGATCTACGCCGGTGCCATGGCGGCACAGGAGCTCCGCTGGCTGACCTTCTTGCTCACTGACTTAGGTGAGCGGCCTAGCTCTGCCCCGGTCCTGTTCGCTGACAACAGGGCCATGATCCTCCTGTGTCAGGAGCCTCGACTCGAGGGCAGAGCGAAGCACATTCAGCTACGGTACTTCCTCCTGCGTGAGCTACAGCAGCGACGTCAGGCTCGCGTAGTACACTTGGCCTCAGGTGCCAACACGGCTGATATCTTTACGAAGGCGCTTGCGCCTAAAGATCATCAGCGGCACTGTGTACAGCTTGGTCTAGTTCCTGTAGCCTCTCACTTACTAGGACCTTGACTTTGTACTGTCCTTTATATGTATACTCAGACTGGACTTGTGTCCTCTCCCAGTGGCTGGACTAGTAGTGCCGCCCTGCTCTTGTGCTTGCCTTGTCTGTACTCCTTCTGACCGGTCGCTCAGACCCTTGCCTCAGAGGTTGGACTAGTAGTGCCGCCCTCAGCTGCTTGTTTAGGGTATTCCCCTATGCAGTCTAGGGGGTGTGTCAAACATGTGTATTTGTCATGTTTGTATAGACTGTATAGAGTCACCTCTTAGAGGATACAAAACTTAGATATATTTGTGTGTACTCTCACATTACCATGATTCAATTCTAATTTATGATAAAGGCCGCCACGCCGGCAGGAAAACGAAAGGCCGCCATCAGCGGCACGGTACGAAGTGAAATGTAAGACAAGGACGAGGCGGAAGCGTGGAAGGCAGGACCGGAAACGGCCTGCTCTAATACCATGTTAAAGTAGCTCTAGGCTAGGATACTAGGCAGGAACAAGGCCGCCATGAATGTGGCGGCGGGGTTTAGCTAGGAGCTGGACGATAGTATTGAGAGAGAAGAGAGTTGGATTAGGAAGAGGAGAGTACAAGGAGGGGTTTGTACCCCCTACAGAAAGGTTCAGTAACAACCTACCAAGCCTATATTAAATTATAACTTATATAGTTTGAACGAGTACTATACATCCACCTCATAAACTCCTTTCCGTGGTGGCATTCATTTGATCCATCACGCTCCAGTACTGTAAGTATGAACTCCCTTCCTTCCTCAACCGGCATTCACTGGAAAAGGGTGGATTCCGGATCGCCATGAATCTTGTCAGGGTAGGAGTACATCCACCTCATAAACTCCATAGTAGCCTTCATCTGATCTGTCACGCTCCTGCTCTTGAACTCCCTCCCTTCCTCCCCATACCCGATCAGTGCAGTCGCATGCCGATGCACCTTCACACACCTCCCAATCCGCCGAGCCTCAAACTCCCGAACCGCCGCAGCCACGGCAGCAGGCTCGGCAAACGAACCTCTCTCTCCCACATCAGCCAGACACAGGGACAACTGGTGGGCATCCTCAAACCCAGTCAAAGCCCCCTGGCCCGGCCCAGGGTCCATGGCATGAGCCGCATCCCCTATAAGAACCACCCTGTTACCGCAGACAGGGTCGCTCCAGGAGTCAGTAGGGGGCGGGCGGTCCAGCTGGCGCCGTTCGAAAATGAGAGATTCTGGGGTGGAGGAAGCTTCTTGGAGGGCTCGTTTCCAGACGGGGTGGTGGGGGAGGTTGGAGCAGATGAGAGGAAGGAGGCGGGCCTTGATGCCCTGCTTGCTGCCGAAACCCGCAAACGGGGTGTCTTGGAACGTGGGGTCCATTTCATAGTCCACATATCGCACCTGAAGAAAGGGAGCGGGGAACAGGAATGGGGGATACAGCATGGGTAAGGTGGGTGGGGGAGGGTGGAGTGGATGAGAGGGAGGAGATGCGCCTTGATGCCCTGCCTGCTGCCGAAACCTTCGAATGGGGTGCTGGCTAGAGTGGGGTCCATTTCATAGTCCACGTAGCGCACCTGGAGTAGGGGAGGAGAGGCCAACAGGATACGGAGGGGTTAAGGGTGGTGGGGGAGGGTGGAGTGAATGAGAGGGAGGAGGCGGGCCTCGATGCCCTGCTTGCTGCCGAAACCCGCAAAGGGAGTGTCTTGGAGCGTGGGGTCCATTAGTCCGCATATCGCATCTGGAGTAGGAGAGGGAAGGGTAAAAGGATGTGGAGTGGGCAAGACTGGTGGGGAATGTTGGAGTGGATGAGAGGGAGGAGACAGGGGGGGACTTGATGTCATTACAGCACCTGCCAGAACCTTAGCTGCCAGAACCTTACCTGCCACGGCCGCAACCATGCCTGCCAGCAGTACCATAGCTGCCAGAAACTCACCTGCCAGAATCTCTCGCCATTCTTCAGGACGATGAAGATCGCACTGCACCCCGTCACCTCGTCAATCAGAGCCGTCAATTCCGGAACAGCCTCTCCTGATGCACCGACATCCGTGGATGAACCTCCAGTGCTATTGGCATCAGCTGGGCTGCTGACGTTGGCTGGGTTGCCGGCTGTAGCAGTGGGGTTGCTGGGGTTAGCTCCAGCGCTGGGGTTAGTCGGGCTGCTGAGAAACGAGTTCCAGGCGATCTGGTTGAGGAACCGCGGCGAGTCGCCAATCATTTGATCTCTCACGGCTGATCGCACCCCATCAGCTCCCACCAGAACCTTCGTCCTCACAACCACCAATTGGTTCTCGCCAGGATTCGAACCCGCGACCTCACAGATAACATCCACCGCCTCAACCTCACTTCCTCCCCCCACTTCATTCCCTTCCCCCGCTTCCCCCTCTTCCCCCGCTTCCCCCGCTTCCCCCGCTCTGCCCTCTTTCCTCCCCCCCTCCCCGCTCCCCCTCTTCAGCACAGGCCGGTACCCCACCACGCGGTGTCCGCATCGCACCAACTCTGGCCGCGGCAGCGCTGACGCCAGCGCCTCTTGGATGCGGCGCCAGGGCACCATGTTCAGCCCCGCCTCCTCCGTCTCCGCCACCATCCAATCCGGACCTAGCGGGGTGTTGCTCCCCGCGCCACTGGCCGCGCCACCTCCCCCGCTGCCCTTTGTGTCACTTTCCGTGGGCCCGCCGCTTCCCGCGAGCCCGCTTTCAGCTCCGCCGCCTGGCGGCGGTGGCGGCGGCTTGCGCCGGTTGCAGAGGCTCCGCCGGTTCACCAGCGTGCCGTGTTCCGCCACCGTTCCGCTCAACCCGGGCATGATTCCGTCGAGCGCGGCGGCGCCGTTCGGCCAGACGACCATAACGGTGCTGTTGTTGGACCGCAGCGCGGGCGCCGCCTCGAAGACCGCCGCCTCGACGCCGCGCGACTGCAGGCCGGCGGCGAGCGCGAGCCCCGCGAGCCCGCCGCCCGCAATCGTCACGTCCACGTGGAAGGTCGGCGGCGGGAGCGGACTAGGCGACGCGGATGGCGCCGCGTTTGGCGCAGTTTCTGGATTGGAGGAACTGCGCAGCGCGACCTGATTGGCTACGATTTGTCCCAAAAGTTCACGGCGGTTAGGGCTGGTCGTAGGGATACTGTCGCGACGTCGCATGCGACGAGACTGTCGCTTCCCATAGCTGAATTGGCTCGAGCGGGCGACAGATTGTCCCTCTCTGACAGAATCGAGCCGCCGTTGCTCGAGTGAACACCAGCAGGTTGCTGCAGAGGCTGCAGGGACAACTCATTCCGGGCGGCGCGTTCGGAACGGAACGTCGAATGCCAGCTCCGAACGCATCAGCTCCAACCGTCGCCCCCCGCATTTCAGCTCGGACTCAGCAAAGCAGAGGGCAGAGAGAGGGGAGGTGGGCAGGCAGAAAAGAGCAGCCATGGTGGGGATTCAGGGTCTGATGTTCGTACGTTGTGGACCGAACTATCGAATGCTTGCAACAGAGGGTTGCTGCCTGTCTGCCTGCTTGCCTGCCTGGCTGATGACGCCTGCCTAGTGCAGCAAATTGAACGTGTAACCGACATTTTGGCGTGACTGCGGAAACCACCCTCGGCATTTTCAGCTGGTACAAGCAAGGGAGGGGCGGCGATGGGGAAGCTGAGAAGGACGGCAAGCGGGTATGGGAGGAGGAGGGGGAAGGAGATGCGGCTGACGGGGGTACCTAATGGTAACAGACAGACTGTCAGCGGAAGCTTCGAGAAACTCGAGAGAGAGACTTAGAAACAGACGACAACACCTATGGCAGCAGCATTCGGCATTGGAACTGCCGAGCCGACTACTGTAGTATTCCATGAGAAGTGACGAAAAGTAACATGAAGGTAGTCGGTGAGGGACGAATTAGTTCGGCCTTGATCGGTAGGCCGTATTCTGGAATGTGGATGGTGTGAAGGAATTTTCTCGAAAATGATTAAAGCCATTTTAAAGCGCGGATCCCCAAACCCCCGAAGTCAAAAACTTAGGTTACGCGAGGGGCAATGAAGGCCTTTCGAACAAAGCCCCAGGCGACGAATTGGCACTACACGACGTCGCCCAGCCCACACCAGCACACCCAGCGCCAAAATATGTGGTAGGAACAGAATGGAGCACGCTATGCTAAAAGGAACAGTGAAAAACCTGGCCATGTGCAAGGTACGAAATAAAACAAAAGACATGTAATCAACCTACAACCAAAATTACACCGCGAGTCAATATAAGTGCATGGGCTTGCATATTTGGTCCAGCAATAGGGTGTTAAATTACATATTGTGTTATATAATTGGTAGGCTTGGTAGGTTATCGAACTCTACTGTAGAGGGTACAATCCCCTCCTTGTATCCCTCTCTCTTTCTAGCTCTCTCTTTTCTCTAATCAACTTTCTCTCCTAGCTCCTAGCTCATAAGCCCTCACGCCATTTCATGGCTTCCTTCCATTCCTCCTAGCCTAGTTACTTTAACATGGTACTAGAGCAGGTTGCCCTCCTTGGGCCTGCTCCTCACGCTTCCGCCACGCACTGTCAAACATGTGCATTTGTCATGTTTGTATAGACTGTATAGGGTCGCCTCTTAGAGAGTACAACACTTAGGTATATCTTTGTGTACTCTCACCCTATCATCATTCAATTTTCAATTCTGATATGGTATCACGCGTAGGTAGGATCCCCCCCACCTATCGCTTCCGCTCACCCCTCTAGCCCCTAGCCCAGTCGCGACCCCCCCTAGCCCTGTCGCGCCCCTCCCAGGCCCCCTGGCGCCCCTCCTGGGCTTCGTAGCGCCCCTCCTGGGCCTCGTAGCGCCCCTCCCAGGCCCCGTCGCGCCCCTCCCAGGCCACGTCGCGCCCCTCCCAGGCCCCCTAGCGCCCCTCCTGGGCCCCGTCGCGCTCCTCCCAGGCCCCGTAGCGCCCCTCCTGGGCCCCGTAGCGCCCCTCCTGGGCCTCGTCGCGCTCCTCCCAGGCCCCGTCACGCCCCTCCCAGGCTCCGTAGATCCCCTACTGGGCCCCGTCGCGCCCCTCCTGGGCCCCGTAGCGCCCCTCCCAGGCCCCGTCGCGCCCCTCCCAGGCCCCGTCGCGCCCCTCCCAGGCCCCGTCGCGCCCCTCCCAGGCCCCCTAGCGCCCCTCCTGGGCCCCGTCGCGCTCCTCCCAGGCCCCGTAGCGCCCCTCCTGGGCCCCGTAGCGCCCCTCCTGGGCCCCGTCGCGCCCCTCCCAGGCTCCGTAGCGCCCCTACTGGGCCCCGTCGCGCCCCTCCTGGGCCCCGTAGCGCCCCTCCTGGGCCCCGTCGCGCCCTCCCTGGGCCCTGTAGCGCCCCTCCTGGGCCCCGTCGCGCCCCACCCAGGCCCCGTCGCGCCCCTCCTAGGCCCCTTAGCGCCCCTCCTGGGCCTCGTCGCGCCCCTCCTGGGCTTCGTAGCGCCCCTCCTGGGCCCCGTTGCGCCCCTCCTGGGCCCCTGTAGCGCCTCTCTTGGGCCCCGGTCGTGCCCCTCCTGGGCCCCGTAGCGCCCCTCCTGGGCCGCGTTGTACCCCCCCCCCCCCGGACCCGTCGCCCCTGCCCGACCCCGTCGCAGCCGCCCGGCCCCGTCGCGCCCACCCGGCGCCGTCGCACCCGCCCGGCCCCGTCGCAGCCGCCTGGCCCCGTCGCACCCTGCCCGGCCCCGTCGCAGCCGCCCGGCCCCGTCGCACCCGCCCGGCCGCCGTCTCGCTCGCCCGGCCCCGTCGCACTGGCCTGGCCCTGCCGCACCCGCCCGGCCCCGTCGCCCCAGCCCGGCCCCGTCGCGCCCGCTCGGCCCCGTCGCCCCGTCCCGGCCCTGTCGCACCAGCCCGGCCCCGTCGCGCCCGCCCGGCCCCGTCGCGCCCGCCCGGCCCCGTCGGGCCAGCTCCGGCCCCGTCCTCCTCACTGGTACGGTTCCCCCCCACCCCGCCCTGCTCCGTGCCGCCTCGCATCACACTGTACTGCCTGGCACCGCACTACACCGCACTGCACCGCACTGCACCTCACTGCACCGCACTGCACCGCACTGCACCGCACTGCACCGCACTGTACCGCACTGCACCGCACTGCACCTCACTGCATCGCACTGCCCCGCACTGTACCGCACTGCACCGCACTCCGCCTTGCTGCCCTGCCCTGCACTGTTCCTGATGGCGGCGGAGCTTCGCTTCGACGCTGAAGGCCAGCCTCTGGAGTTCGAGGCGTGGCTTGCCGACCTCCGCCGCCAACTCACTGGCCAGCGGCAGGATGGTGAACCGCTTTCCGCACACCTTGACGGTACGCTCCCCTGCCCAGACCCCCCTGCTATCCTGCCCGCTGACTCCCCACCCACTGAGCGCGAGTCTACTGCTGCCACTGCCCGTGCGCGCTCTGTCTGGCTTTCTCGCGATGCTATCGCCCAGCTTGCCATTAGCAACGCCCTTGCTGCCTGTCTGCATGCTTGCCTGCCTGGCTGATGACGCCTGCCTAGTGCAGCAAATTGAACGCGTAACCGACATGTTGGCGTGACTGCGGAAACCACCCTCGGCATTTTCAGCTGGTACAAGCAAGGGAGGGGCGGCGATGGGGAAGCTGAGAAGGACGGCAAGCGGGTATGGGAGGAGGAGGGGGAAGGAGATGCGGCTGACGGGGGTACCTAATGGTAACAGACAGACTGTCAGCGGAAGCTTCGAGAAACTCGAGAGAGAGACTTAGAAACAGACGACAACACCTATGGCAGCAGCATTCGGCATTGGAACTGCCGAGCCGACTACTGTAGTATTCCATGAGAAGTGACGAAAAGTAACATGAAGGTAGTCGGTGAGGGACGAATTAGTTCGGCCTTGATCGGTAGGCCGTATTCTGGAATGTGGATGGTGTGAAGGAATTTTCTCGAAAATGATTAAAGCCATTTTAAAGCGCGGATCCCCAAACCCCTGAAGTCAAAAACTTAGGTTACACGAGGGGCAATGAAGGCCTTTCGAACAAAGCCCCAGGCGACGAATTGGCACTACACGACGTCGCCCAGCCCACACCAGCACACCCAGCGCCAAAATATGTGGTAGGAACAGAATGGAGCACGCTATGCTAAAAGGAACAGTGAAAAACCTGGCCATGTGCAAGGTACGAAATAAAACAAAAGACATGTAATCAACCTACAACCAAAATTACACCGCGAGTCAATATAAGTGCATGGGCTTGCATATTTGGTCCAGCAATAGGGTGTTAAATTACATATTGTGTTATATAATTGGTAGGCTTGGTAGGTTATCGAACTCTACTGTAGAGGGTACAATCCCCTCCTTGTATCCCTCTCTCTTTCTAGCTCTCTCTTTTCTCTCATCAACTTTCTCTCCTAGCTCCTAGCTCATAAGCCCTCACGCCATTTCATGGCTTCCTTCCGTTCCTCCTAGCCTAGTTACTTTAACATGGTATTAGAGCAGGTTGCCCTCCTTGGGCCTGCTCCTCACGCTTCCGCCACGCACTCCTTTTCTCCCTCACGCGCTGCCATGGCGGCCGCGTCGTGCTGCTGTGGTGGCATCGTCGTGCCGCTGGCCGCGTCGTGCCGTGGCCGTCTCGACGCGCTGCCGTGGCGTCGCGCCGTCGTGGCGTCGACGTCCAACCGTGGCGGCGCCGTCGACGTCCAGCCGTGGCGGCGTGACGGCGCCGTCGTGCTGCCGTCGCAGCGTCGATGTCTCGTCGCGGCATCGACGCCGCTCCGTGCCGCCATGCGTCCGTGCCGCCGTTCCGCCGTCCCGCCAGTAAGTGCCGCGCCATCCATGGCGCGTCGCTGAAGACTCGCCCTCCCCCTTATTATCCCCTCCTCTGCCTTGCCATATTCCTTGCCACAGCCGACGCCTGACTCGTGGGGGACCCCATCGCCGTGGAGGTTGGCCATGCTGCTGAGAGGGCGGGGGCCGCTGCAGTCGCCTTTGACGTTCGAGCCGCCGGAGGCGCCGCTGTTGCCGCTGGCCTGTTGCTGCCGCACGCCGCTGCCGTCACTGCCGCCGCTGCCGCCATTGCCATCTCACGGGTCGTGGGGGTTGGCCCCACCGGAGAAGTCGTGGCTGATGCTTGGAATGGGGGTGCTAGGTTAGGGGGTGTGGGTGTGTGTGGGCTTGCCACTACCAAGCCTAGGGGGTGTGTTAAATTATATATTGTGTTATATAATTGGTAGGTTTGGTAGGTAATCGAACTCTACTGTAGAGGGTACAATCCCCTCCTTGTATCCCTCTCTCTTTCTTATTCTCTCTCTTTTCTCTCATCAACTTTCTCTCCTAACTCCTAGCTCCTAAACCCTCACGCCATTCCATGGCTTCCTTCCATTCCTCCTAGCCTAGTTGCTTTAACATAGGGACACAAAGAAACAGTGCTACGAATATTACACAGCGAGTCAAATCCCTTTTTGTTAGCACATGGGCTTATAAATTTCATTTCATAGCATGCGCCTGTGAATTTCCCTAGAATCCATACAAGCGAATACGCGCTAAAATTCGGGTGAAAATGGCACCCTCTACAAGAGTTTATTCGTGCAGTGAAAGGAAGGGGGAAGGGGGAAATGGGAGGAGTATGGGAGCAAGGCATGATGGGGAGATGGACAGAGAGATGGGCAGAGAGAGAGAGAGAGAGAGAGAGAGAGAGAGAGAGAGAGAGAGAGAGAGAGAGAGAGAGAGAGAGAGAGAGAGAGAGAGAGAGAGAGAGAGAGAGAGAGAGAGAGAGACGAGCTCAAGAGATTTTGAGATAGGCTCGGGCTGAGCATGACTGCAGGGGGGAGGGGAGCAAGGATTTATGAAGTCACCAGTCCTAACCACTGGGACATAAAGGGATATCATCATGAGGGTTAGGCTCCATATATCCACCTTCCCCGAGGAAAGCCTCCCCAGTACCCTCCTTAGAGTTAGAGAGAGGATCGATAGGGTTATTCCAGTGCCACGACACCCCCCCCCGCTGGGATAGCGTGTACACCAGGAATTGAACCCCGGATGGCTCTGATACCAAATCATGAAGTCACCGGTCCTAACCACTGGGACAAGAAGGGATATCATCGGGAGGGTTAGGCTCCATATATCCACTTTACCCGAGGAAAGCCTCCCCAGTACCCTCCCTATAGATAGAGAGAGGATCGACAGGGTTTTCCTACTGCCATGACACAAGGTACTCGAGTTCTGAGTGGAAGGGAGTTGGGGTAAGGAGGAACAGGTGGAAGGAGGGAACGGTGCAAGGAGGGGAAGGCGGAAGTAGGGGGAGGGAAGCACTCCCAAAGGTCATGTCCCCAGGGCAACCGTGCCCGCTGTGAAACCAGCAAAACGGGGGTGAGAAGGGAATCAGGGAGAGGAATGGGAGGAAATGGAAGACATGAGGGGGTGGAACAAGGAGGAAGGGGTGAGAACTGGAGCAGGGACGAGGAACGAAAGCAGTGGGAGAATGGGAGGGGGAGCAATGAAAGCAGGGGGAGAGAATGGGAGGGGGAGCAATGAAAGCAGGGGGAGAGAATGGGAAGGGGAGCAATGAAAGCAGGGGGAGAGAATGGGAGGGGGAGCAATGAAAGCAGGGGGAGGGAATGGGAGGGGGAGCAATGAAAGCAGGGGGAGAGAATGGGAGGGGGAGCAATGAAAGCAGGGGGAGAGAATGGGAGGGGGAGCAATGAAAGTAGGGGGAGATAATGGGAGGGGGAGCAATGAAAGCAGGGGGAGGGAATGGGAGGGGGAGCAATGAAAGCAGGGGGAGAATGGGAGGGGGAGCAATGAAAGCAGAGGGAGGGAATGGGAGGGGGGGCAATGAAAGCAGGGGGAGAGAATGGGAGGGGGAGCAATGAAAGTAAGGGGAGAGAATGGGAGGGGGAGCAATGAAAGCAAGGGGAGACAATGGGAGGGGGGGCAATGAAAGCAAGGGGAGACAATGGGAGCAGGAGGGAGGAATGAAATCAGGGGGAAGAAACAAAATGGGGAGAGAGGGAGGGGGAAAAGTGGTATAGGGGGGGAGGAGAAGGGGGAGGTGAGAGAGGGGGAAGCGGAGAGGAAGAGAGGGGAAAGCGGAGAGGGAGAGAAGGGGAAGCTGAGAGGAAGAGAGGGGGAGGCGGAGAGGAAGAGAGGGGAAAACGCTGGGATTGAGGGCAATGAGAGGGGCACGGAAGGGCACAAAATTCGCCCTCACTCTCTCTGCCTTTTCTCTCGGAAGGCTGCCAGCTCCTGCGGGAAAGGAGGGTGGTTGGTTGAGGGAGGGCACCGATAACGAGGGGAAGGCATGGGTGCTGGGGCGAGCATGAGTGCAGGGGCAAAGGTCGTCTCTCTTTCCCCCTACGGTCCGCTCTCTTTCCCCCTACGGTCCTCTCTCCTTCCCCTTCCCGCCCTCTCTCTCCTTCCCCTATCTGCCCTCTATCCTTCCCCTTCCCCCCCTCTATCCCTCCCCTTCCCATCCTCTCTCCTTCCCCTTTCTGTCCTCTCTCCTTCCCCTTCCCGCCATCTCTCTCCTTCCCCTTCCCGTCCTCTCTCCTTCCCCTTTGCCACCTCACTTTCCTTCCCCTATCCGTCCTCTATCCTTCTCCTTCCCGCGGCTGCAACTGCAGCTGCGGCGACTGCGCTGGCGGCTGTGTGCGCGCGCGAGCAGGCGGGCAGCAGGCGGGCAGCGGGCAAACAGCAGGCGGCGAGCAGCAGACGGCGAGCAGCGTGCGGCGCGCAGCGGGCAGCTAGCAGCGGGTGGCACGCAGCGGGCAGCGAGCAGCGGGCGGAGCGAAGCGGGCGGCGCGTAGCGGGCGGCGAGCAGCGGACAGTGGGCAGCGCGAGCAGCGGGCGGCAGCGGGCAGCACGAGCAGGGGACAGCGGCCAGCGGCAGCGGGCAGTGCGAGCGAGAGCAGCGGGCAGCATGGACAGCGGCCAGCGCAAGCAGAAGGAGGGATGGTCGCGACGGGAAGGGTGGGAGGACGGTACGACTTTAAATCGCATGCTACGGGCGATTTTTTTCGCCAGACGATGCGGCTCCAAGGCGGGAGTGAGGCGGGAGGGTGCATGCACTCCTTTGGCACTGCGTATTCACCGCGTCACGAGATTTTCTATAGGAAATGTTCTTTAAAAATGGTATAGATCTAGTGTGTCTAGTTGCCTGGGCGAGCTAGCCCCGAAACTGCTCGATGGTCTAAGTTTTTTAACCTGGGAAGGGAAGGTGGGTGATGGATTAGAGGTGGGATCGCTGCAGGGAGGGGGTGTGTGTGGAGTGGAGGCCAATCAGTGGCGTTCTCGTTGGCTTTTGGGTTGTCGCCCGGCAAAACGAGTAACCCTGTGAACGGAGGTTGGATCTCAAAAACTTAGGACTTGGACTTTCGGGGGTTTTGGGATCTGTGCTTTAAAGCCCATGTCCCAACTTACAAGGCGCCTATTGTTTTGTTAAAGTGAAAGTATACTACGGAGACGAGACCAAGCTGAGTACAGAGCCGCTGATGGTCATGAGGCATAAGTGTCTTGGTGAAGATATCAGCGGTGTTGGCCTCTGAGGCCAACTGTACCTCTCGAGCCTGGCCGCGCTGCTGCAACTCACGCAGCAGGAAGTACCGCAGCTGGATGTGCTTCGCCCTGCCCTCAAGTCGAGCCTCGTGACATAGAAGGATCATGGCCCTGTTGTCAGCAAATAGGACCGGGGCAGACCTAGGCTGCTCACCTAATTCAGTGAGCAAGAACATCAGCCAGCAGAGCTCTTGAGCGGCCATAGCCCCAGCGTAGATCTATGCCTCACAACTAGACTGAGCCACAGACGACGACTTGGTGGACCTCCAAGAGACTGCACCAGCACCCATACTAAAACAGTAGCCCTGAGATGACCTGAGCGTCTCCACGTCGTCAGCCCACGATGCGTCTGTGTGTCCAGTGAGCACCACTGGCTCCTGTCCTCCTAGCACAAGCCCCAGTCCTGATGTACTCGCCAGACACCGCAGTACCCTCTTGGCATCTGACAAGTGCTTGACGGACACTAGCGATTAAGCCATCGGCGCGGTGCTGTTACAGGATTTCGGCGACGGACTCCAACCAATCGCGTACGAGTCTAGGAAGTTGCAAGCAGCTGAGCGCAACCACCCCATCCACGACAAAGAAATGCTCGCCATTATACACGCGTTTAAGGTGTGGCGCTGGTACCTGACGGGAGCCGACGTGACAGTACGGACAGACCACAAATCCCTACAGTACCTCCGCGCGCAACCGAACCTCAACCCACGACAGATTTGTTGGCTGGATATCCTCGAGAGCAACTTCCACTACACCATCACGTACAAATGTGGGGGCGAATAACATCGCTGAGGCACTGACACGACCGTCCGCCCATTTCGCCTCCGTCATCATTGCAAAATCCAACCCGCTAGTCACCGGACTATTTACCCACGGCTACAGTACCAATCCCTTTTTCACTCGCAGCAACCTCCATCAGCAGGCTACCACTGTCACAGGATCGAATGTGTCGAGGAAAGGTTTGCTCAATGTTGCACTATCAATCAATACAAGGTGCTTTTATACTTCCAAGATACATCAGGTAACCAGGTTTATCCTATCCAAAGGGAATAGACCCTTCTAGAAATAGAATCACCATGCGTATAGCCACGCGAGGCTATTGGCTTTAAGGGATGACGGCAGGATTACGCTAGATATAGCGCGCCAGTACATCCCGAGCCTGGTCGGTGATATAATTATAATAACAGGATAAACCAAAGGATAATAGAAATTGAGGAATAGGAAACCAAATGAGGTGAGATAAAGACCAAATGAATGAGGATAAAAAGAGGAATGAAATAGAAAGGAAATATGAAAAGGGAAAATTAGTGTAACGGGGTCGTACTCTCACACTTCCCCCCCTCAAAGCTGGGTGGTAGAAGTAACACCCTGCTTGACAAGGTAGTCGCGAAGAGGACGACGGGCGTTACCCATGTCGAGTTCAGAGACGCAACCTTAGAAGTATCAGAATCCTTCCAGCAAAGAAGAAGCTCCAGAGTGCCATTCTGACGACGACGGTGTCCAAGCACGTAGTTGTCCCATGGTGTGGATGAACACGGGCGGCGACGATGGTTGGCATTCGGTGTAGAGCGTGTTTGGTCTTGATAGGGTTTTAGAAGCTGGTAGGGAAGGTGTTATGGACATTCCAAGTGGCTGGTAGGCGGAAACGGAAGGTGAATGAAGTGACCGTTGCTTCAAAGAGGAAAGGCCCGTTGAAGCGAGGTCGCAGTTTGGATGGGAGATGGCCGATATCAAGATTGCGCGTGTCGAGCAGTACTCGGTCTCCCACGGGGATGGTGTGGTCTGTGCGGTGGCGATCGGCCTAGCGCTTCTGTTGTTGCTGAATGTCGAGAAGGCGCTTGTGGGTCCGATCCCAAAGTTTGTGCATGGACGTGATGAAATCATGAGCGGGTTGGACTGTGGCTGGTATGGTTAGCTGTTGTGGTGTGATTAGGTGGCGTCCGTAACAGAGGAAGTACAGTGTCTGTCCAGTAGCGGCGTCAGGAGCATACTTGTAGGCAAACTCCAGGACGGGCAGATGCAAGTCGGAGTTGGAGATGTGAATGGTTGGAACAGTGTGCTGTAACGTGCAGATGAGTGGCTATGTTGTCCGATCTGTGCATGCTGTTACCCGCATCTGGTCCACGTGTGAAGATCACCAAGTGTTGGTGGTATGGCAGTTGTGTCGTAGTAGTGCTTCTGTAGCAGTGTTGTATCCGTTACATGCAGCTCCTGTCGAATGATGGTCCATGCCGTAGTGTTGTCGCGAGTTGTACCCACTCGGCATCGTAGTGCTGCGGGATGGAGAGCAGAATCACTAGTAGTAACCCTGTCCACCACGCGGTCTGCTAGTCACACTTCCTTGAGTACAACAGCGCATGCGAGGTGCTGCTCAGCGTATCCCTTAAGTTCGGAACCATGCGAGGGGCCGGTACCATAAACGCGGAGCTGGTAACTTCCAGAATCGGTGCCAAGGTACAGTAGTTTCCCTCGGTGGTTGCTCAAGCAAGGAATCTCAGCTGCGTAGATATCTCACGCTGATGGGTTCGGACATTTGGGAATGTTGGGGCTATTCCCAAATAATCCGCTCCTGTTTCCAAATGAGCATTGCTGATAGCCAATCCAGTATGACCTTATGCACGTCCAGTTTAGCACGGAGGCCATCGGTAGGCATCGGTGTCTGGCGCACATATTGGGATAGGTCTTCTGGTGCCATCATGTATTGTCTCATTCTGTTACTGTTCTTGAAGTAGCGTTGATGTCGAAGATCTCTCAGCTACTCAACATCAGTGTTGAAGTCTGCTCCATTTCGGCAAACAGGGGTGTTGTTGGAGATACGCGGAGTCCACTATCCGGAGTGGCGTCGGCGCTCCATTTCACGCCTATCTGCTTCCGTGGAGTAAGTGCTGATGATGGATTGGTTGCGACGCAGGTTTTATGACTTTAAGGAAAGCCATAGGCCATGAGGACTTGTATACCGGTAGAGTACCGTAGTCCTCCCATCCTCATAAGAGCAAATATCTCCTGCTCTTGAGGGTATATGGCATTGCCATAGCTTTTCCAGTGCATAGTAGTAACTCCTTCCCACTAGCATGGAAATCATACTATTGTGCATGAAGATGCGTTATCGACACCAGTCAGAAGATGTGTCGATTGTGCAGTCGCTGGTCACGAATGTTGTCTCCATGATGATGATTTCCCATAGTGTAGTCTCCGCTGCATTCGTGTCGTTGATTCCGCACCGATCCGACGATCCACGTTTTCCTGTCATTTTTCTGCATGCAGATATTACCAAGTAGGTAATACTCTGGCAGATTTCTGACTCCACAGATGATTTTGGACCATATTCGTCACCAAATAGAGGAGTCCGAATTTGGCTGTCCAAATGTTGTCAACGCTGTTGAAGGCGTCTGATTGTTTGTTCTGCGCGTCATTCTCCCTTCGTGCAGAAGTCGCGCTCCATCTCGTCCGTTGAACTAGAAGTCGATCCGACGGTCCAAACTCCAAGCGATCTGAGGAACCTCCTTAGTCGCGTTCAGCAGCTTTCGGTGCACGGGTTGACTCGTTTCCTGCAGCAATTCTCGGTCGTCGATGTCGGCTGTCGATCGATCCAACGCTCCAAAGAATTTCGCGGCTTGCGAGGTCCCGTTCCCATTTGCGCCGAAACTCGAACTCGCTCAGCAGGATTTCGTTTTCGCCTCGGTCGATCTGAAGCGTCGAATCCCCATCGGACGGATGTCGTTGGTCGCAGCTGTGCAGATTTCCGCGCAACTCTGAGAGTCGTGGCGAACTGCGACCTTCTCCGAATGTCGCAGGGAGTGTTCCGCCGGAACTGACGCGCTCGCCAGGTCGAGGCCGTTTGCCCCCGCGAAAAATCGGCACCGTCGATGCAGTCCATCGAACGGTCGGCGAGGCGTCTCGCCTTCGAAGGGGACCCCAGGTGCAACTGCGCGAGGATTGTCGAAACTTGAATGAAAGTGCATTGTACTTACAGGAATTGAAGTTTCGACTCCATCCTCCGCGTGCTCCTGGGGGCCCAGCGGTTAAGCGTTGAGCTGAAACCTTGGCTCTGATTACCAAGTGTCACAGGATCGAATGTGTCGAGGAAAGGTTTGCTCAATGTTGCACTATCAATCAATACAAGGTGCTTTTATACTTCCAAGATACATCAGGTAACCAGGTTTATCCTATCCTAAGGGAATAGACCCTTCTAGAAATAGAATCACCATGCGTATAGCCACGCGAGGCTATTGGCTTTAAGGGATTACGGCAGGATTACGCTAGATATAGCGCGCCAGTACATCCCGAGCCTGGTCGGTGATATAATTATAATAACAGGATAAACCAAAGGATAATAGAAAATGAGGAATAGGAAACCAAATGAGATGAGATAAAGACCAAATGAATGAGGATAAAAAGAGGAATGAAATAGAAAGGAAATATGAAAAAGGGAAATTAGTGTAACGGGGTCGTACTCTCACAACCACGGCTGAGGGAATTTATTTCCTAAAAGCCGGCACTGACCGCATCTGGGTTCCCGCTTATAGACTCCTCCGCGAATTACTCATTCCAGAAGTCCATGATTCTAACCCCTCCGATCATTTCGGGGTTGATAAAACCCATAAATTACTTCACCATTTTTATTATTGGCCATATTCGGCGTCTGATGTGCAGAGATATGTTTCGGCATGCCCGACCTGCCAACGCATGAAGTCCTCTCGACAGCAGCCACTTGGACTACTGCAACCGCTCGAGCCATCCCAGAAGCCGTGGCAACATGTGACGATAGACTTCGTCACAGGACTTCCGGCAGGCGCAAGTGGCAACGGCGCCCTCCTCGTTGTCGTCGATCGCCTGATGAAAATGGCGCATTTCGCACCCTGTCGAACAACAATCACTGCAGAAGAAACAGCCAAACTCTTCATCTCCACCGTTGTTCGTATGCACGGCCTACCATTGGCGATCATCAGCGACCGCGACCCCAAGTTCACATCCAAGTTCTTGTAAGAGACATGGGAACAGTACGGCACCCGCCTGCAATTCTCGTCCGCCTACCAGCCACAAACCGACGGTCAAACCAAGCGCACCAATCAGACCATGGAGCAGCTGATACGCACCAACTGCCCCGATCCTGCTAGGTGGGAAGAATTCTTGCCCATGCTCGAATTTTCCTACAACAACGCCTCATCTGCAACGACTAATCACTCGCCATTCTTCCTAAACTACATGATGGATCCCACCGTGCCAACGACAACTAACATCGACAACCCCGTGCCCTGTTCCCAACAGTTTGTTAACGGCTTACAAACCGCCCAAGAGAAAACGATCGAATGTATTCGAAAATCCAGCACGACAGCCCAACGCTACACCGACCTTCAACGCCGAAATATAACGATGGCCGCTGAACAACTAGTCCTTCTCGACATGAAGAACCTCCGCCTGCCCCTGCCATCCAAACTCTGCCCAAGATTATGTGGGCCATTCCGCATCCTCAAAATGGTGACACCTGTCACGGCGAAATTATTACTCCCGGACGCGTGGCGCATTCACCACGCATTCCACGTCAGCCTCCTTCATCCCTACGTCACTAGCACATCCGCATTTGCACGACCGACGGCCGTCCCCAGTGTCGGCCTGATGGCTGAACAGACACTTGAGCCGTTCCGACTTTTGAGTCACCGCGTCCACCTCGACACCACAGGCCGCCATGTGGATTTTCTTGTCCGCTGGGCCGACTGTACAAGCGAAGACGACACGTGGGTCCCTTCCGACTCGCTTCAGGAACACTCAGTGCTCAAATCCAATTTGACCCGAAAAGGCGTTCCCGATATTGACCACCTTCCTTAGGAGTGTTAAATTATGTAGGTTATACATAATTGTAGGCTTGGTAGGTGTTACCGAAACCTACTGTAGGGGGTACAACCCCCTCCTTGTATCCCTCTCAATTCTAATCTCATTCTCTTCTCTCTCGACATTTCTCCTTCCTAAACCTCACGCCATTTCATGGCTTCTCCCCCTACCTAGCTTACTTCAACAAGGAGGGGGTGTCAAACATATATTGTATGTTACTGTAGACTATATAGGGTTGTGCCTTAGGGAGTACAACCCATTAGGCTATATACCCATGTATGACCTATTCTACTCAAACTTTTCTCACCTTTACATGGTATCATGAGTAGGTAGTCCCCCCCCCCCCCTAGCGCTTCCGCCCTAGGTCCTAGCCGACCTGCGCCTGTCCTGTAGTCGGTCCGCGCCCGTCCCGTAGCCGGCCTGCGCCCGCGCCCGTAGCCTGCCCGTGCCCGCGTCCCGTAGCCGGCCCCTACCCGCACCCGTAGCCGGCCCGTCCCATAGCCGGCCCCGTCCTGCGCTCGTACCACAACCGGCCTGCGCCCGTAGCCGGACCGTCCCGTAGCCGGCCCCGTCCCGCGCCCGTCCTGTAGCCAGCCCCGCCCTATACCCGTCCCGTAGCCAGCCCGTGCCCGTGCCCGTCGCCGGCCCGTCCCGTAGCTGGCCCCGTCCCGTGCCCTTAGCCGGCCTGTCCCGCAGCCGACCCACGCCCGTAGCCGGCCCGTCCCGCGCCTATGCCCCTAGCCGGCCCGTCCCGCTGCCCCGCCTGTTGCCGTCCCGTAGCCGGACCGCGCCGGCCCGTTCCGCATAGCCGGCCCCGTCGACCGCCCGGCCCCGTCGCCCAGCTGCCCCTGTCGCACAGCCGGCTCCTGCGGCTCCTGCACCGCGCTGCACAGCGCCCTACCGCGCTGCACCGCCTTACCCCGCTCAGCACCGCACTGCACCGCCCTGCACCGCCCTTCACCGCACTGCACCGCACTGGACCACACTGCACCGCATTGCACTGCATTCCACCGCTCTGCGCCGCACTACATCGCGCTGCACCGCACACTACCATCCTACACCTCCCTCTACCGCACAGTACCGCATTGCACCGCACATTACCCCTTTCCGTCGCCCTCTACTACTCCGTACTGTCCTGCGGTGGCTGCTGCAACCATGATGGCGGACTTGGTCGTGCGTTTCGATGCGGAGGGGCAGCTGATTGAGTTCGACTCGTGGCTCGTCGACCTCCAGCGCCACCTGACTGGTCAGCGACAGGACGGCCACTCCCTGGCCGTCCACATCGACGGTACGCTCCCCTGCCCGGACCCCCCTGCTGCCCTCCCCGCTGACCCCACCTCTGCTGACCGTGAGTCCGCTGCAGCTGCTGCCCTTGCTCGTGCTGTCTGGTTGTCGCGTGATGTTGTCGCTCAGCTTGCGATTAGTCATGCCCTTCCCCTGTTTGAGCGCCCCCGCTTTAGGTCAGCCAAGACTAGAGGCGGTTGTTGTGCGCTATTCCACTCCGCCCTCTGCCTCTGTAGGTCATCTTATCCTGCCCATGCTGTTTCCTGACCTTGCGTCGTTCCCCACTGTCGCTAAACCTCGCCGCCCACCTGCTCATGCTAGACACGACCTGGCACGCTGCCTGCACTGAGGCTCAGCTTCGTGTGTTTCAGCCCCCCATCTGCTCTACCCTCTTCCTGCTTGCCACCCGCCTCCCTGACCGCCTTGCCACCGCTCACGATCCCTTCCTTAGTCTCCACCCCGCTGACCTCACCCTCACTGACTTTGTCGATACCCTGTATGCCGTAGAGACCCGTCAGTGCTCTATCACCCAGTCTAGCGGTACCGTGCCAGTCTCTGTCTTTCAGGGCTGTGCCCCTGCTCAATGCTCGTACTCCGACAGTTCTGCTGCGGTGGCTGAGACAACTTCGGCTGTGGAGACAGCCACCGCAGTGCAGTTTCGTCCGGGAAAGGGTCGCCGCCCCAAGGCTGGGCGCGGCGGCGGTAGCGGAGGAGGGGGTGCTGGTGGTGGAGGTGGCTCGCCCGCTGGTAGTACTGACGAGGGAGCTAGGGCTGCTTCCCAGGAGCAGCAGCTCCAGTAGCAGCAGCAGCAGGCTCCGCAGCTGGACCAGCAGCAGCAGCACGTGGAGGGTCGGCCGTCTCCCACCCGGGTGGCCTGGAGCTGGAGGTGATGGTGGTCGCAGTGGTCGCTCGAGTGGCGTGCCTCGGGTGGTGGTCTGAGCGACGGACGCTGCCAATACCAGCTCCAGACCGGTCCTCGCCACGGCCTCGTGTGCAGTAAGATCGGTCATACCCCCGCTTATTGCTTTCGTCGCCTAGACGACCGTTTTCGCCTCCGCTTCAGCCCGTCGCCTGACCTCCCCGACTGGCACAGTCAGCTCCGTTGTCGTGTTCAGATCTTTGACATGGACATGGATGAGATTAGCTCTGCTTTGTATGCGCTGTATGTTGATGACTCTAGTGTGAATGGATCCTATTACCTTGTATTTCCTAGCGTAGGTGTGCCCAGTGTGCCTAGTTCAGGCTCCCCTGCTGCGTCAGGCGTAGGATCCCCTGCCTTGTTTAGCCTAGGGTCCTCCCTCGCTTCTTTGACCTCTGTTGCCACTGCCGCGCTCTCCTTCACCCTGGACTCCTGCGCCTCCCGGTGTTTCTTTTGTGACTCCACGACGCTTACGCCGATTGCGGCTCCTGCTGCAGTTGCTCTTGCAGACCCTTCCTCCGGTCAGTGGTTGCCCGTAGCTCCACTACTCTTCCCTGTACGGCGGTGCCCTCAGGCTCCCTTACAGGCCTGCACATCCCCTCATTCTCTCGGAACCTAGTTGGTGTCGACTGCCTCCAGGACCTTGGCGTCACCATTACGTTCCTTGGGCAAGGGCGGTACGCTATCTGTACCCGATGCCCCCCTCACCACGTTCCCCTGGGACCCGGTGTCTGGCCTGTTCACGCTGGACACCGCTTCCCCCCCGGTTGGGACGCCTCCCCAGATACCTGCGTCTTCCCAGGTTGCTGCAGCATGCTCGTGTCGGTCACTTACTCACCCGTCACTTCTGTGGCACCTCCGTCTAGTTCACCCCACCCTCACCCGTCTCCGTCACATGTCTTAGCACCGTCTTGTCCTAGGCCTCCTTGAGTCGTTCCCTGTGCTCCCCTCCTCACCCGCGCCTCCGTGCACGCCCTGTGTCGAGGGCCGGCTTCGCCGTGCCCCTCACTCCTCCTCGTTCCCCCCTACCTCCACACCGCTGCAGACCCTGCACATGGACGTCTGGGGCCCCGCCCCCGTCCATGAGCCGCGTCGCGAGCGCTACTTTCTAGTGCTTGTTGACGACTACACCCGCTACACCACCATCTTTCCCCTAGAGCGTAAGGCCGACGCGCCTGACGTTCTTCTCCCGAGCCTTGTCCCTGCACGTGTTCACCGAGGTCTCCCTGTCTTGCGTCATCACTCCAACCGCGGTGGCGAGTTTGCCTCTGGCTGCCTTGGTCATTTCTGTTGTGCCGAGGGCATCTCCCAGACGTTCACCCTACCGGACTCCCCGCAGCAGAATGGGGTCGCTGAGCGACGCATCGGTTTGGTCATTGAGGTTGCTCGTACCTCTATGATCTATGCCGGTGCACCCCATTTTCTGTGGCCGTTCGCCGTTCGCTACGCCGCTCACCAGCTTAACCTCTGGCTGCACCCTCAGCGGTCCCAGGTTTCACCGACCCTCCTCTGGACTGGGTCCCCTGGTGACGCGTCTGCGTTCCACATCTGGGGCTGCCTTGCTCACGTTCGTGCCTCTTGCACGGACAAGCTCACTGCCCACACAATCCCCTGTGTCTTCCTAGGTTTCCCCTTTGACTCGTCTGACTGGCAGTTCTACCACCCGCCTTCTCACCGGTTCTTTCACTCTCGTGACATCACTTTTGACAAGTCCGTCTCCTTCTACAGCCGTTTTCCCCACCGTGGCCCCCCGATTACTCCCCCCCTATTCCTGGTTCCCCCTCCCCCGGTCGACCCTATCCACCCCCCTCTCCGCCCTGCCCCGTCTGGTGTGTCTCACGTCATCCCCCTCTCGTCAGTTGTCCCTGCTGAGGAGTCCGCTGACTCTCGCGGCTCGGCGGAGTCTCTTCCCCCGCCTGTCCCTGCCCCGGTCTCGCCTCCACTGTCGCCGCCGCTGCTTTCCCCGCCGCTGCCGCCGCAGCC